CTCCCTCCTGCCTGCCCCACAGCCACAGCCCACCAATCAGCTCCCTCCTGCCTGCCCCACAGCCACAGCCCACCAATCAGCTCCCAGCCCGCTGCCCCCTCACGGCACTGGCCAATCAGAGCCCGCAGTACCGGCCCCCCGTCACCGCGCTCCCCCGGCAGCGCCGCCCAYTSCASTGSCGCCATCSCCATTGGCCGGGTCCCGCGAGCGCACGSGGCTGCCATTGGCCGCGGTGGGCGGCGCGAGAATCCCCTGTCCCCTTTCCCCCGCGCGCCGCCGCAGGTGTCACTCACACGCGGCCCGMGGTGGAAGAGGCGTGGCCCGCCAGGCGGTGCGCGCTTCCGGCGCGCGCTGGTGGGCGGTACTTCCGGGACGGACGCAGGGCCGGGGAGCGGCTGCGCTGCCCCTSTCCAAGATGGCGGCGGCACTGTCGGTGTGCGTTCTGCGCTGCGCCCCGCGCGGGCTCCGCGCTGTGCCCCGCGCGATGGCGGTGAGCGCCGGACGTGGGGGCCGCGGGACGGGCTGCCCCGGCCCCCGCGCGGGGCTCGGACGGGCGGGCGGCGCCTTGGGCCCACCGCTCCGTGACTCAGCGCCGCGCGGCGGGGGCGGCCCAGCGCGGGGCTGAGGCGGCGGGAGCGGCCCGAGGCTGCGCCCGAGGCGGCCGCGCACGAGGCTCCTTGCCCCGGGTGGGCCGCGGCGGTGCGGGCCGTGTCCCGGGCCGGGGTGGGGGGGGAGCAGGMGGTGCGGGCGTTGCCGCGGGGTCAGGCGGGCGGAGCCGCGGGCAGGGCACTGCCGGAGCATGGCCGGGCCGGCGCTGCGCCCGTGCTGCGCCCCCGGCGSTTCTGCCTTGCTGTAATTGATCAGGCGAAGTGCGGAACTTAGTTAAAGCCGAATTCCGGCACGCAGACGCGCCGTATTAGGCTCTGGGAGCCGCTCCGTGGAGCGATAGGCTCGCGGAGCAAGGGCTGGGATGGGCTGGGCTGACGCAGCCGTCCAACAGCGGCGGAGCGCCGCAAAGCCCTGCGTCCCATTGGCCTCAGCACGGCTTTCATCAGCTTGTTTCTGCCGCGGGGAAAAAAAACCGACTCGTTTGACACACTTCTCTCTTTTCCCCGTCTTTCAGGTTATGTCATAACCACAGAACCGCCGAGCAGTGATGGAATCACTGGACACTGAGGTCAGGGCACGGAAGACCCTGGGGACTGTGGAGTACGTGGAGTCTTCAGGCTTCACACAGGGGGTGCTGCCCACCAAGAAGGATGTGGTGCAGAACATGTTATACCTGCTGCAGCCCAAGAGGGCCGGCCAGGCCCAGCGCTCCAAGGAGGATGCGGCCCAGCTGCTTGCAGAGCACCTGCAGGAGCACTGGCTGGTCTGCAACTTGCACACCATCGCCACGCAGAACATAAAGAAACTCATCCTCAAAATGTACGAGGAGTTCACCCGGTTGTACCAGACCAGGAAGCAGAGACAGAACCAGGCTTTTTCCGAGCGAGCTGACAGATTCAACGAGAGTTCAGAGAAGCTCTTTGATGTGTTTTGTACAGACACACAGATGAGGGATAAACTGGAGRAGTATAGTGGGATAAAAATGACCAGCATCGAGTGGAAGTTTCTGGAAGATCAGAGAAGTGAGAGAAAAATGTACTATGAAGATTTCACAGAGAAGCAGGAGCTGAAGATGATGGAGAGAAGGCAGAAGATACAGTGTCTGGAGCACTTCAGGAAGCTCGCCAGGGAAGAGAAGGAGGGCAGCAAGGCRAAAGAGATGAAGTACAAGGGCGAGGAGCAGTTGGATGAGGGTACGAGCGTGGACGAGCTGTACCCCACAGAGGAGGAGAACGGCGGCGCCCCGGCCTTCTCGCTGCGGGGCCGGCGGAAGCGCCGCTGCACTGCGGCCACCACCGGCACCGACCTGCCCCTGGAGGGCGAGCACATACGGATGAGCATCCGCAGGGTCAGGCCTGGCTTCTATGAGACTGTGGAGAAGGTGAAAAATTGCTAGAGCCCGCCGCAGACAGCGGGCAGAGCTGCTGGAGTACAAGGTGGCAATGCACACRTTAGGCAAGTTTGAAATCCCACCATCCATTGGAAGTGATTGTTGTAGAWCCTCATGCCAGAGCTCAGGAACATGCTGCCTCCAGGGAAGAGGGCTGGGATGATGATAACGGCAGCAAGGACTAAACTACATGGATTTGGAAGGATGAGCTGTCAGTGGCCAGCGATGCCAAGGCTCAAAGGCAGCGGATGATCCAAGGTTACGTAGCACATAAGCCTCTTTTTCCAAGGTCCTGTCTGCATCTGGGGGGTTTGGAAGTCTCTCAGTATTTCTAAACCAGCGGTGGCCAAACAGCGTTTATCAGGACTCAGATTTACTGCAGGGTAATAACTTGGACTTGTTGCAAACAGAAAATCTGTGTGCTGAAGAGCCCTGGCTCCCCTGGCTGCAGCAGGGGTGAAAGGTGCTCGGCCCCTTCCTGCAGGAGCTGGCGCTTCTGCCAGGAAGGAAGTGGGTTTGCAGTGTGTGTCACCAGCCCTGGAGAGGCATACCACGCTTTTACGGGGGGACTGCTCTCCTACCCAAGGAATGGGCAGAGAGCAGGAGACAGTGGAGTGCTTTGGCTGCTAAAGCATTGGTGATTCTGAATGTTTTATTCAACCTTTATTCAACCGGGTGATGTTTCCTTGATTTGGATAAACCTTCCCATAACTGGATGYGTTTTATCATGAAGTCACTATTCTAGGATCTGGGGTGTGAATCCTAAATGAAGTGGTAATGTTTTATCTTTGGGGGGAGGAAGGGTAACGTAGGAGAAAATGCAAATTGCGTTATTTAGTTTTAAGATGAGAGTAATTTTATAAACTGTTACCCTGCCTTTTTAGGACTTAGGGAAGAAAAAGCCTTCCCAGGTGTAGCTGTGGTGTTCACAGCAGCAGGCACCCGGACCTGGGCTCACTCTTCCATCCTCAAGGTGGTGCAGACCAGCAGGGGGGAGATGGTAGTTGTCCACCTGGAGGTTGTTTGAACAAAGCGTGACCCTCTTGCCCACGTACATCCTGAGCAGTGACGTATCTGTGACATTTTTAGTTAGAGTTGCTTTACTGGTTCTTAAAGATATGAGACTTGAACTTCCAGTGAAACCCAGTGCTGAAGATCTCTCTGGTGAGATTCCCATACCTTGCCAGACCACACTGAAAATGGAAAACCCCCAAGTCTCTACTTGTCCACAAAAGATCTCTGGTAGAAAGAGCGCAAACTTGCCTTGTTTTAAAATTTACCTTTCAGTGTGAATGTTGGTTTCCCCACTCCAGTATCTCAGCTTTTCCCCGTTTCTTTCCTCTCCGTCCTGCACATCATTTACTGACATTAACTCGTGCTCTTTCATTCTTTGGCTTTTACTCCCGTTAACAATAAATGCATGTACGAATAATTTTGACAGTTCATTTACTTCTGATGAATCAGTGCTTGGACTGCTTTGAAGTCCTATGCCAAAGGAGGAATGAAACGCAGAGCAGATGCTGGTCCTCCCGGACACGGTGGCCCTGGCCGGGCTGCCCCAGCGGGCTCCAGCCTCAGCTGCCTGGCACAGATCCGTGCAGCTGTGAGCTGTGCGTCTCTTTGCAGGGACCCCCTGCAGCTCCTCAGTGCCGCAGTCGTTGCTCTGTGTCTCTGACAAGCTCTTCATGGTAAGTTGCTCTGAAGTATTTAGTGCCCGCCGCGTGCTCCGCACCACTCGTAGTGTTACAGGTTTGGTAGCAGCACCCTCAAGCCTCTGCTGCTGGAGGCTTTTCAGCCCTCCCACCATCTCCYGTCTCTGACATGCTTCACTGACCTCCCCAGGCAAATTATGTCACGTTTAAACTATTTGCCTTCCAGCCCTGAGGTGCTGGATTGAGCCTCTCATTGGGTCTCTACACCAGCAGCTCTGTTTCAGCAGGGAATATAGCCAAGCTCAGACCTCACCGAAGTAGAAGTTTTTTAATAACTGCTGTAACCTCCCTTTTACTTACTGATATAGCTGACAGTATAAATGCTCATGTGTAAAGCAAATCCACCGGGGTTGGCTCGGATACAGAACACAGCTGTATAGTGCTTTATGATTTGCAGGGATTCAGGGAATTTAAGGTTGTCAAATCTGACTTCCTGTCTTGCCACAGGGAATTACATTTCATTCAGAAGCCCCACACTCAGCCTGCTGGTCTCAGTTGAACTGACGTGTCTGATAGAAAGTCGAGCTGCAGGTGTCAGCAGTTTGCTGTCTTCCTTGTCACCTACTTAGTGATTTGTCACCTTCATTGTTTCAAAAAAAGAAAAAAAAATCAGACCAACTTCTAGGCTGTGATTCTTCTCACATCCTGTACAGGCTGAGCAGAGTTTATCGCATTGAAATCATATTTGGTTTTTTTTTAAACTGGGTTTGACTGTGGATAGAGCCAAATCCTGGCTCTGTTTCTGCTGCAACAGGGGGGAAATTTCTAAATCATGTATTCTGGTATTCTGATTACTCTTCTTTGGGACCATGGTGCCTTTTAAATCAGGACAGTAAATCTTGTCCCAGGATTCTGTACTTTTGTACATTAACTTTTGTTGACTTTCCTTTTTGGTGTGTCCCAAATAAATTAATATAACATATCTCTGGGCTTTTGTTTCTTCTTTCTAAAGGGGGAGGAAAGAGGAAACTGAAGCTGAAATAAATCTCTGCTTCAGCTTTCCTTCCCAGGTCCTTGCAGGACAGGAGCAGCTGAGATGTGTGCAGGTGGAGCTGCTCCTGTCCGGACCATGTGGTTGGGCAGTAGGGAAGCTGCAAGAAATGGGAATCTGGCTGAGGGGCCCTCATGGAGCCCTTTGTTTCAAAGATGCTGGAGCCTGGAGCAGCCAGGTTAGGTAAGGGGAGAGGGTTAAAACCACTGCACRTGTGGCAGCATTTCATGCAGGCCCTCAGTATGCCTCAGGCGTGGTGGGATTGGCATCAGAGACAAAGGCAGGGACTCCCTTTTGCTGGATGCTGAGTCACTCTTAGTTGAGCATTTGGGGAGAAACATTGTCACCCTTGAGCCCTTCAGGCTTCRTGAAGGGGAGCAGTAGAAACAGAAGGGCATTCTGAAATCCCTGGGGCCTGGCACCCAGGCACGGCATGTGCCAGCCCCAGGTAAAAGCTGCCTTTTTGCAGCCCTGACAAGTTCCTTGGAGCTGCCCAGGCCAGCCCTGAGTGAGGTTATACAGAAACACCCATCTGATTTCCCAGCACGGATGTGCCTCTGCACGTGGCATCCAGAAGCCACAGCTCTGCCTCCAGCCCCTCTCAGAAAGGGGAAGGAACATGAAAAAAACAACCCAGAATTCAAATCATGGCACTACTGAGTGGGCTGGATGTGGAAAACAATGTGACTCAGCACAGAAAGAGTCACAAAGTTGGAATTTAAAACAAGTCCAAGCCCAGCACTGTGGGCATCCGGTTTGTGGGGTGTTGGGCAGTGCCTGCTCACGAGGGAGGTGAGGGGGGCAAGGGGAAGAGACTTGAGCCTTGTCCTAGATGTGCCAGACAGCTTAACACAGGGTGATGGTGAYAAATTGTGGCACTGCAAGTGGGATAGCTGGGAAAAGAGTTTTCCTGGGAAGGGTGGAGCAGACCTGTGAGGCTGTCATGAGTGTGCTTGTGCTCAGCCTGTGGCTGGGCTTRGGGGGTACTCCAGGAGGGGAGATGAACCTCCTGTGTCACCTGACATCCATGTTTTGTCCCCTGGGGAGGGGAAATGCATGGCACAGGTGAAGCTGTTGCCACTGTGGCAGAGCTGGGCACTGAAATCCTGGTGTGGGGCACAGGAACCCAGCATGACACAGGTCCGACCCCCATCCTATGGCACCCACTGTCTCCACAGGAAAAATCCCCCTGAATGCTGAAAGAGCTGTAGGGCAAGCCTTTCCACGGGCAGCCACATGAATTTATTAACCAGATCCRTGCTAGGGTATTTCCTGCTCTTGCCAAGGGTGTTGCCTTGTTATTCTTCCCGAGTTTCTTGACAGCAGATGCTTCTCTTGGCACAGCTTTGGAGCCAGTGGATACTGCTGCAGTCTTTTAAGACTTCGCAATGGAAGTTCCTCCCCTTGTGCTGCCCAGCAGAGTCCTCTCTTGCACCATGCTCTGGTCCTGCACAGCCACAGCACCTCTGGCTGAGCCTGCCAGGCAGCCCCGACACATCTCCAGAGGGAGGGAGGCTAGAAATTGATCCTGCGGAAATCCAAATGTTTGGGAGTTGGGGCAGGAGCTTTTGAGCTGTTTYCCAGACACGTGGTACAGAGCAGCCAGACCCCCAGACTTTCCTATGCCAGGTGCTTTCAAGCGGGCAGCTTCCCCCTGGCTCCAAGCTTTTGCAGCTCTCTATGCCCAGTTTTGGGAAGGGGGTATTGACAGAGCTRTAGGCTGCACATGCCCAGGTGTTCCCTGGGCTCACTCGTGGCACTGCCATGGCTCTGGCAAGATGCTTCCTTGTTCAGCATCATCAGTTGTACCCCAATGCACCTTTTGTGGAGTTTCTTTGTCTGTCAGTACTTCCACTACCCCRCAGAAGCTGTCCTGCAACTCCAGGACACCAGTTTTCCCCATTGACCCAGTCTGCAGCAGCATTTTATATCCTTTTGCAGGCTGATGTGCACCRAAACAACTCACACCTTGTCTTCCGCGTCTCTGGAGTGCGTTCATTATGTGAGCACCCGGACAGCTCCTCCTGCAGTACCCTCCAGCTGTTTCTGTCTTGGGACAAACCACATGGTCCATGGGAGATGCTGTGARGGGAAGTGGGAAGTGTGGGGGGAGGACGCACTCAAAGACACCCCCGCCCCCCCCTTCAATCGCTCTTTTGTTGCCATCACATCCCCCCGCCTGTGGGGCCGCGACTTCCCACGTGCTCCTGCAGCCSAGTTTCTGGATGAGGGAAGCAGGTGCTTTGGAAAGTCCAGAAATTTTGGGAGACGCCTGGGTGACCACAGGGATATGAGAGGCGGGAGACCCTCCCCAGGACCTTGCTCACCCCCTCTTGTTGGTCATACCCGCGGATCGAGTGTCCCTCAGCAGCGGCATAGCCCCGAGCAGGGGAGCTGCCGGACGCCGAGCCCGGAGCTGGCGGTGCGGGCGTGGCGCGGTGACAAGCGCAGCCGTGCGCCAGGGACCGGCTCAGGTTACGGCTTCCTACAGAAATGAGTGGGGCTGCGGGAGCCCCATGGGGTTTCTGGTGCCGGGGCCAAGGCCTATTAAAGGGCAGTGTCCGGGCGGCCGCGGGCTCCGGCAGCGTCGCAGGGTATGGCGGGGCCGGGCGGTGACGGGGACCTGCGGCGCCTGCTGAAGTTGCACCGCACCGAGATCGCCATGGCGGTGGACGATGTCTTCCCGCTGCTGCACGGCCTGGCTGACCACGATGTCGTCCCAGAGCACATGTTCACGGTGAGGCTGTGGAGCGGGTCAGGACGGTCGCGCTGCGGGAGCCGGGGCCGGAGGGCAGCCCGGGACCTTGGGCCGCGCTGTGGCCGGCAGGAGACGCTGAGCCGGACGGAGCGGGAGGGCTCCCACCGYGCCTTCCATGCGCTGCTCACCTGGCTGCTGGGGCGCGACACTGCCGCCCTCCGCGACTTCTGGGCCGTCCTCTTCAAGGATTACAACCTGGAGCGGTACTCCCGGCTGCGGCCCCTCCGCGGCACCTTCCCCAGAGGTAGCAGCGGGTCAGGGGGGACCGGCCCCTCCGGGGGCTGACGGGGGACGGGGGTGGCAGCCRGAGTGTGCCGGTGCTTGTCCCAGTCCCTGTTCCTTTGCAGAGGTGGAGCTGGGGCGGCAGCGCCGTGGAAGGCGTCTCTCCCCCAGCCCCACGGCACCAGCCTCACACAGACCTCAAGGCAAAAGAAAAGCCCCTGAGGAGCGGGACAGGGCCCGGGTGGCACAGCCCTCTCCCCGGCACAGCGCCAGTCCTGGTATGGAGACCCAGAGCAGGATGGAGATGGGGCGGGGTGCTGCTGCTRTGCCCCCCCGATCCCATCCTCTCAATGCCGCAGGGCCCCTRCTGAAGGCAAAGACTGTGAAGAAGYCAGAGGGCACAGACACCCCCCGCTCCTCTCGTGCCAGTGGTGAGTGTCCAAACCTCCAAGGCAGCCTCTGCCTACATGCCCTGTTTGCCCAMAGCCACGGGCAGGAGGCTGCCCGCCCCACTGAGGCAGTGCCCTGCCCGCAGCCCTGCAGGCAGTGACTGCCTCCGTGCAGAGACCAGTGGCCGTGGCGGGTGGTGARGTGCCTGTCAGCCATGTGGCCATCGAGGGCATCCTCATTAAACATGTGCTGGAACCAGGTAGGTTAGCCTGGCCACCTTCTGCCCAGTTTAGTCCCCAAATTCAGGCRCCATCCTCAGGCAGGGGGAGGTAGGGAGGAGGAGCTAGAACTGCTTGTGTCCTCCCCTGCAGGCAGCTCCAAGGTGGGCAACAGAGCTGGGGGTGAGCCATATGCCCCAGCTGCCKGTGAGGAGCCAGAGGCCAGGAGCAGAAGCCACAGCTTGAAGCCCCCTGCCCGGCCCAAGGCATCCCAAAGTGTACAGACACCCCCCGCACGTGTTTTCACCCCCACCTTGTGCAGCTGCCAAGTACTGCACGGGACSCCTGCTTGGGATCATGGCAATGGCCTGGGGGTGTCCCCCTGTGGCAGCAGTGCCTCTCCAAACGCCTTCTTGTCTCTCCAACAGAACAAGGAACCCCAGCTGCACTGCCAGGGCCAGCTGTCAGCAGCTACCACGTACAGCCAGGACCCTATGCCCCACCAGGTGAGCCCTGGACCAGATGACACCTGGTGCACTCCCAGGAGGCATTGTTAGGGTGTCCCTGGCATGGCCATTTGGCCCGGCCTAGCACAGGAAACCCGTAGCGTTCAGCTACTGGGGGCTTACCAGGTTACAAGCACCAAGTGACAGGTAATTTTACTACCCTGGAGGGGTTGGTGTGTTTGGTGCAGGGTGGGTGATGCAGGGGGAAAGGACAGACCCTGCCACAGCCATGGCTTCAGCCTGTGGGGGTGGCAGTGACCCCCTGCCCACTCCCCTGGGGACAGGAGAACGAGGATGAGTGTGCAGCATGTGGGGATGGCGGTGAGCTCATCTGCTGTGATGGCTGCCCCAGGGCCTTCCACCTTGCCTGCCTGGTGCCGCCGCTGCCCCGTGTCCCCAGGTGAGTGCCAGGGTGCAGAGGGACTCTGGTGTCCCCCACTGTCCCTCACTGCCCTGCTCCCACTGTGCAGCGGGACGTGGCGATGTGGCTCTTGTGTGGACAGCATGGCTGAGCCGGGCCAGCTGCTGGAGGCAGACTTGGCTGCGGAGAGACCCCCTGAAACCCTGGGGGAGGCAGTGGGGGACCTGCCACCCAGCAGAGCACAGGGGAGCGTCTGCAGCCACTGCTGCGCCCAAATCCCCACCTCTCGACAGTGTGCTGCTCCCAGTGGGGACCCCAGGTGAGTCCCCCAGCACCCCCCATATCCCAGCCTTCATTGTCCCCTGCAGGGCTCTGCCCTGACAGTCTGTGTCACCCCGATGGTGCAGGGAGCTGCAGCGGTGCACACGCTGCACRGGCACCCTGGACACAAGTGGCCTGGGCACCAGCACGGCAGCTGGACACCAGCTGCTCCCGGCAGCCAAGGTCAGCAGCAGCGGTGCCAGGGCGGGAGAGGCAGAGCGGGAGGGGAGCAGGGAGGGGAAGGTGGGTCGGACAGGGCAAGGCACGGGTTGACACCACAGGGAGGCAGGTTAGTGAAGCTTTACTGGGGGAGCATGAGCTGGGGTGGCACTGGGGCAAGGGACTAACCACAAGGAGAGTGGGCTAAGGGTACAGGGACGCTGGCAGGACATCTCTCCTCCCACAGGCAGAGGAGGGAGCCCTCGGCAGTGACCCTGTGCTGAGCCGAGACGAGCTTGATGCTCTCCTGGGCGAGGTAAGATGCTGTGGGACAGCAAAAGGCAGACACCATCCAAGGGGGACAATGTCTCTGGTGTGGCCCACGGGGTGACACACCGCTGTGGGTCAGGCAGGCCTGGACATACCAGAGGCGCAGGATGTGGGATGGGAAAAAAATAAACTCCTGATGCTGTCCCACAGAGCACCTGGGATGGGATCCTGCAGTGGGCATTTCAGAGCATGGCACAGCCCCTCACGGACACCCAAGGACTCCTCGCCCAGCACACAGAGCCAGCAGCAGCTCTACATCACAGCCTGTGAGCAAACAGCCTCTGGGGCAGCTGTACAACAGAACAAACACAGGCATCACGGAAGTCCCTAAAAAGCTCACATCATGGACATCACAGCCCAAGAGAACACCAAAAAATGATAGGAACAAAGGAAAATGGAAGGTAGCAGACAGAGACCATTAACATAAAACAAAAACTGAAAATGTGCGTAAAAAAATAAAATAAAAAATAAACTAAGCAAGAAAAAAAATGTAAGAGATAAGAAAAAGAAATTTCCATTAAAAAACAATAAAAACATAAACATACATTTTAAAATAACTGAGCAAAGAAAATTAAATAGGAGAGAGAAACGCATGAAAAGGCACTGGCAGAATAACAAACCATAAACCAGCGGGWAATCCCGGGGAGTCCCCACAGGATCCTGTGCTTTTCTGAGGCACCATCATAACCAAGAAAAGCAGCTACAGAAGATCAAAGGAATTTTATTGCGATCTGTGTCTGGTGACATTTTGTTACTGGCTTTATGTCATGTTCTCTCTGTCCTACACACCGCATTCCCAACTCCTTCCGACATTTCCTAACCTCCCTCTCTCTCACGTTTTCTATCAGAAAAGCCACATCCTATGGAGTGGCACAGGGTCTGCTTTGCACCTGAGTTGGGGC